ACATCATTGAAAAGGTAAAATCTGATTCTATTCAAAACAGAAAGAATCCAATGTTGCGCCAATAAGAAAAAATAAAGTTGATGATGGTGGCCGGAAAAGGAAACGTCGGATAACAAAACTGAAAACACCATTATGTAGTGGCAATGTGGAAGTGCAATGTATTTTCGAATCCTTCGAAAAATAAAGCCAGAAAAAAATAAAAACCGAAATTTCTGTTTTTTTTTTGGTTATCTCCGGATATACTCGGAATTTCAGAACTTTCTCAACGGAATATTGTTAGTCAGCTGAATGCGCAACTTTGCCTCAATTTAACTATCTTCGTATCTCTCATATTTTCCAAGATCTCAATGGTGAGGATCGAATTTGAAACACCCTGCATAAGAAGAGTTCATCACTAACCTTATGGGTTACACATAAGGTTTCCAAATCGATACCAATTTTTAAAAATAAGGAATCAAAAGATGATGTTACAAAATACCGTAATGTTTGCTTGCAGAGTCAAATAGCAAAAATAATTGACATGGCATATAATATTCGTATCACCACCACATATTATTTAATTGTCAAAACGGTTTCAGACAAAACAAATCGGCATCAACCGCATTGGACGATTTTTGTACAGACTGTCTTAACGACAAACACAATCCCATTGCACTTTTCTTTGACCTGAGTAGATCATTCGATACAGTTGACCATATTCTTTTATTGGGCAAGCTGTATCGGATTCGTGTATCTACGGATGGGTTACATTTTATTTCAGAGGAAGGCAACAATTCGTAGTATCAGGTGAAAATAGACCAGCAGAAAAAAAATTAAATACTGGTGTCCCTCAAGGCTCAATCTTGGGACCTGTTCTCTTCATAATATTTATCAATGATATGGTGTACTCATGTCCCAGTGCTTGAAAAATTGTAATGTATGCTGATAACACTAATATTCTCATATTAGATGATAAAAAATAAAAAACGCTGTTACCAGAGCAAGCATTTGTGGTGAAGATTTTCATAAATGGTGCTCGTTCAATGGACTATTAGTTAACCTATCAACAACATTATTTTTAGTATTCTTTTTTTTAAGGACAAAACACAATCACTACAGGAAACTCCTTAAGGCTCTCTCGGATCGGTGCCTGTGCGAAAGTAGCGATTCACATTGGATTTGAGTCGCTTGAGATCAAATCCATTTGGAAAAACGATCTCAGGAAGTTTATTCACATAAACGCAATTTTCCAGATGAAAGAGTTCTTATACAGTGAAGTTCGAGGTGTACTGAGTTGAATCTTAAAACCATGAAAAGCCACAGTCTGTCGCGTATTTCTGATATGTACCGCTCTTGGTGGAATCAAATGTGCCAAGTCACTTGAACACCTTCCGTGAAAGTATCTATAGAAGACAGACAAATCTCCAACCTTTCTTCGATGTTCTAGGCTATCAAGGCTGCACGTAATGTTCGCGTCTCAAATCAGGCGGATTGCTCTTTTCTGGATGGAATCCAGCAGCTTCAGGGTATGTTTGGGGGCAGAGCTCCATACATGAGAACGATACTCCAAAGGAGGTCTGATATGAGCTTTATAAAGCATCAAAAATATAAATCGTGATATGAATTTTCCAATACGAGTGAATCGGTAGAACAGGAAAATGTCAATACATTTCTGAGTGTCAAAATATATCAGAAAATGACATGAGAACCTCATATTAATGATCTAACTAATAAATAGAGTACAATTTGCTTCATTTTAAGAAAACTCATTGCATTGAGCTACGGATTGATTTTTATGGGTAAATTCAGTACATATGAAAAAAGTCTTCATCGTACAAAAAATAATCAGATGTATGCCTGGTTAATCCTTTTCCCTGTTTTGTCTTTTTACAAAAGAGAAAACATGGCAAAGTAGCTCCGGCAGCTGTTTGTCGGCGGCATATGGGAGTGGATTGATTACTGCTATTCTGTTAAATAAAATGCGGATACNAAATCAAAGAAGTTATACAGTCAAGCTTTGAAAGAAGTTTACCCAATTCGAAGAGAGGAAGATAAAAGTTATAGAACCTTAACCTACTTTGGCCAACCCACTACAAATATTTCAGATTTTCTGCACAGCAAAGGTGTAAATACTGCTTTCAAAACCAACAACAACTTGGGCATGTATTTAACATGATTCGCTTCTAATTAAAAGGGATTGGTTCTCCCTATCTGAATTCACTTTGTCTGCTGCATGTCGTTCTCAGAAATAATTCTGTCAAATTTGTGGGATCTCCATAGAGTTCACACACTAGATACTATCGGAACTAAACGAAGTCTAACAGTTTATCAGAAGAAAAGAGAGATGGAATGCGGAAAGGTAAATTTGTCAACACAGAATATCATTTGCGAGTGTATAGGTGCTCTTTGACAATTTACCAATATACGGTTTTCAAAATAAACGTTGAACTAGTCAGCTCAAGATTATTCCAGTAACTATATACAACATTTATAATTATTTACAATGGCGTGGACACTGTACATATGTACATGGGAGGTAGATTGATACGTATTTATCAGATTGGGTGGTTTAGGAAAACTAGTTGGTGAATATATTACTACCTTTTGCAGTTCCTAAACCGGAGCAATATACAGGGTGAAACATTGATCACCTTAAAACAAAAATATACGCAGTGAATGAAAACGAAAAAGTTACAGTAGCTCGTGGAACTTCCTGTTTTTTAAATCTGTTTTAGAATCTGTTTTTCCGTTAATCAGCTGTCACCCCCATATGAACGACAACTCTCAGAAGTTGCGAACTTGTGCGCGCAAAGGACTAACGAGGTCTTACCTTTTAACTTGTGATTCCTGTAGAAACATATTCACCTAATTCTCAATTCTAACAGTTAGAAGACATTGATATTCTAGGGTTGTGAAGCATTCAAAAAGATGTGTCATAAGACCACCATTTCCATTTATTTTTTTCCCAGATGGCGCCCAGTCGCCATCTTGAAAGTTTCATCTGTCAATTTCACTTAAATCTAAAAACTTTTCAATGTATGAGAAATACACATACGATTGGAATAAAATTCTCTACAATGTAGCGTCCAAAAACTCTTCAATGAGGTAAAGGGATTGATTTATTAGATAACGAATCAGATCATCCTTTAAGACATTTGAACTCGCTGAGCTTAAGTGCGGGAATATATTCATAAGTCGGTTATAGCACCTGATTCCTTGGTATATGTGAGAGTCCTGCAATGCTCAATTTTGAGTATGGCTGGTGGATGCTCTCACTATTTCTCGTACTGTAAATCACATCTTTAACTCAGGTTATTTCCTTCTTTTTTGACATTGATGATAGTCAAAAGTATGTAAAGTGAAGGAACTGTTAGAAGTTAGAATTGAGAATTGGGTGAATATGTTTCTACAGGAATCACAAGTTAAAAGGTAAAACCTCGTTAGTCCTTTGCGCGCACAAGTTCGCAACTTCTGAGAGTTGTCGTTCATATGGGGGCGACAGCTGATTAACGGAAAAACAGATTCTAAAACAGATTTAAAACAGGAAGTTCCACGAGCTACTGTAACGTTTTCGTTTTCCCTCACTGCGTATATTTTTGTTTTAAGGTGATCAATGTTTCACCCTGTATATTGCTCTAGTTTAGGAACTGCAAAAGGTAGTAATATATTCACCAACTAGTTTTCCTAAACCACCCAATCTGATAAATACGTATCATTCTACCTCCCATGTACATATGTACAGTGTCCACGCCCATGTGAATAATCATAAATGTTGCATATAGTTATTGGAATAATCTTGAGCTGACTCATTCAACATTTATTTTGAAAACCGTATATTGGTAAATTGTCAAGGAGCACCTATACACTCATAAATGATATTCTGTGTTGACAAATTTACCTTTCCGCATTCCATTTCTCTTTTCTTCTAAGAAACTGTTAGACTTCGTTTTGTTCCGACAGTATTCTAATGTGTGAACTCTATGGAGATCCCACAAATTTGACAGAATTATTTCTGAGAACGACATGCAGCAGACAAAGTGAATTCAGATAGGGAGTACCAATCCCTTTTAATTAGAAGCGAATCATGTTATGTGGATGTATGATGGCAGTACCCTTTTGTGTTTGATATTGAAAATATTGTCT